CAGCTCCAACCTCTTCAATCAAAGTTTGCGGACGACACCAAACTGTGGGTGAGAGTACCAACCATCAAGCAACGGTGGATGCAGACAAATCAATACAAAAGGGCAGTGAGGTGAGCAGGCTCGGGCCACAGTTGGCTGCACAGGCTTCAACAATCTCCACCTGGGAATGGTGGAAGAGTATGTGACGCAAGGGACATTGGTTGGCTGCGACTTCCAGGAGGAGTGGCACACCAGCAGCTGCTCCACTACACATCCCGACGGTGCTGGCTAGGTTGGAGAGGGGGAAAGCAGGCCAAACCAAAGTTCCTGGGGGTGTGCACATCTCTCCTGCAAGAGCCTGTCCTGCGAGCCCACAAACACTGCCATCACTGGGGACAAAAAAGCGCCCCAAACAGCGCCTGTAAGCTTCCTTCCGCCAAACTGAGAAAGAGGCCAGGAAGGCTTCCTACCTTCTACAGAGAGGCATTGAGCAGCATCCTGAATCCAAGCTGCAGTCAAAGCCCGGTTGTGTGTACGGCACACTTGCACCGTGTCCTAGTGCCGCGCAAAGACTAGGTTTGGAGAAGCCAGGCTGAAAGAACCAAGACTAGATGTAAGTTACTATAATTGTTGGGAGGTATACCTACACTGTCTCTGGTAGATTTGGATAACTATTACCAAGATTTCGATCCGAAAGACTAGCCTGAAAGCAATAGAGGCGACGCCGATCGCGCCACCCACAAACACACGCCACAAAACCACAAGAAAGGACACAGAAGGACCCACAAAGATGTGAATTAGTAATCTTACTGGAGGGGAAAAGTGTGTTCATGAACACACTTTTAGATAGACTTCTGAGAACCCAGGGCCTAACTTTAACAAGTTCCCCAGTGCATAAATGCTCCTTAGGTTCAACAGGGCAAAGCTTTTTCTGTCATTCTCAGACCCAGATCACTTTACAGTGAAAATGACACCGTACTATACCTGACCAATGAGGTAGAGTGGTGGGTTGTTCCAGGATTAAGAAAGTGAGTTACTTGCATCAGATATGGAGGTGTTAAAGTGATTATAGAAGGTACAGACACTGTCTGATTGTTTCAAAAGAGCCCTGAGTGTAACCACAGTGTACTTGAGGCAGGTTACTCAGATGCCCGTCTCCCAAAAACAACCACCTTTCTCTATTTTTTGGTGTTTCATAGGGAGTATTAATGTAAAAGAATACGTTAACCTGTAATTCTCCTGTTTGTCTTGTCAACAAATCCATGAAAAGACCCCAAACAACAATGTTGTTAGCCAGTTCTTCTCTGACTTTCCTTACTGGTCCTGTGCTCTCGAGCCCCAGGCCCATTTGTTCTACTAAAGATCAGAATCCTTCAAAATCAGCTCATCAATTCGAAAATCAGAGTTGGCGAACAAGTACTTGAAAGTGCTTGGATTTACTGAACAATAAAGAGGTCCTTAAAGTGCTTGAATTTAACCAGCCCTTGATAAACTTTGTTCTAGAAGTTCCACAATAATTGGAAATTAAGTAGTGAAGTAGTAAATTAACATATCCAAATCACTATTGATGCAAAAACAAAAAAAAAGCTGCAGAAACGCCAGACTTGAAAATATTTTAAATATTACAAACATTTTCTCAAAATTACATATTGCTTACCCTTAAAACCAAAAATCTGTGAATTCATAATCAGGACAACTACTAAATATTACATACCGATTCTTTGAAGAAGTCGACGTAATGGCCTGAGGCTTTAAGTTATTTATTTTTTCATTTTATGTAAAAAAAAAAAAAAAACTTTTCCAGCCTAAAAGAACTTTAAAACAATATTTGACAAACGCCTCTGAGCATTACTGGTTTAAAACCTAATTAAGGTACCTTTGTCTGGGTTGGACGGGTATATGTGAACATCTACTTGAATTATTGCCCCCTAACAGTGGCATCACCCCCAGGTTAACTTCCTGTATCACTTTTCGTGGGTCTTGTTGAAAATAAAAATGTAGAATAACAGCAGCCTTATCCCTTGCAGAGTCAACAGGAAAGTGCCATTGTTTGCCAAGTTACAGAAAGCACTTCCTCTAAAGATCACATGGTCCAATGAATGCAACCTGACTGAATTCTTTGTTTCATTGCTGTTAGTGTAGCATAAGCTTGTACAGTTGCAACCTCAAACACTGTTTGTCTCTTATGGCATAAGTAACATAAACTGATATTTATTTTTTTAAACACCAGAAGTTCCAAGTATCCAAAAAAACCCAAAAATGTGTTCATCCAAATGATACCAGCTGTCCTGACCCCACTATATGATGTCGGTCATGAACCACTGTCTCAGAAAAACAACCTCAAATGTCAGTTAATAATCCTAAAATCCAGATTTAATACTCACACTTCTGTTAATTATGAAGAACCTACTTTCAGTATTGACAGTTTTTGCTTGTAGGATGCATTTAGTGCTACCGTATCAGATGGCTTGTTTTCTTTGTTTTTATGTACTGAATAAACATTTGCATTTCTACAAAATGGCCTTTATGGTGCCTAAAAAAACTACAGAACCCTCAACTGTTGATGAAATTCAATAAACGGCATTCTGGAATCGATCTGTTGAGCATCATGTCAGATACTACAGAATGAACATTTAGAATAAGCTCTTTACTCTTGTAAAGTCTCACTATTTACTATTTTATTTATGAGCAGTATGTAAACAGTTAAGTGGTTTATAACGTAATGTTAGTTGTGAGTGTTTGTTCTGTAGACTGGGGCACTCAGACCCCAGAGATATGTTTTTTGTTTATATCTGTTTAAATACTTTAATAATCCCAGGGGGAAATTATTTAAACATTATTTAAACGCCGATTCCATACTGTACCCCGCTCTCCCTTAAATACGTCACATTCTGAAATCTACAGCGTAACCCAATGTATTTCTCAGTTTCATAAATTAGTTAAAATTACATCTAAACAACATGTCACTGGCTAAAATAACCATGTATATTAGATAATGTGTATGGAATAATTAAATTATACATCACTTTTATTTGTTTTGATATTAGCATTACATACGTTCCATCGGTCGCCCTGCTCTCTAAATATCAGCATCAGCCATTGAAGAACCCATATTGCCTACTAATATTTTCTTTGTGTGAAAGGCAACTTGTTCTAGTGAAATTTGCATTAAAGTTGCAGTTGACAATATTGCAGAATGTCAGATCAGGTCACACAGAATGCACAGGGATTAGTTGAATTTACATTTTAATTTGTACGATCACAACCTTGTGAAGGGAATGATTAAATGTTTGTATAGTATCTGTTTCATGTACTACTGTCAGGAAATATGACAAAAAGTCATTATTATAAAAGTTACCTACTGCAGCTTTAACACCAAGCATGTGGGTGGAAATCTACATCTGTTGCACCATGATTTACAGTCAACAGTGACAACAGCGTATACTGACCACACTCAATACATTTACTGTAGAATAACAAGTTTATTTGTACAGCATCTCTCAAAACCAATTTTAAAAGTGCTTTACACATAAAAAGATTCAGAAACAAAGAATGCATTACAAAAAAACTGTACAATCTACAAGTATAAAACATAAGATTAGTATAAAAGGTCAAATACTATCAGGATGAGTTCGAAGAAGTGATTTAAAGGAAGTTGATAAGGCAACCCTGGCATCATTAAAGCAGGTCATTCCAGAGCCACGGATCGCTCTGGTCTACAGTCTAGAGCAGTGGCTCGCACCCTTTTTTCGATATACGGTAGAGAACTGATAAACAAACGGTGAACACAGTAACTGCAGGAAGGTTGTGTAAATGTACAATTTGAGCATATTATTTCAAGTGAATATTGACATTATTATTCATACAGACTTAATGGGCTTCTTTTTGACAAATGTTTTCTCATTGTTCTATGAGCTCTTTGGTTGTTTTAACTGCATACTTCTCTACTGCAGGATGAGGCTGTTTATCAGAGTGGAGGCTCTCAGGTCTTTAATAATCTAAACTATAAAAAAAAATGTTTGTTTTTCTTTGCAGAAATGAACAAAATGCTGAGAGTTAGATCTATAATTTAAAAGTTTTCAAATCAACAACAACAACAACAATATCCTTGCAGCCCCACGTGAATCTATGGTGACCCCCAGGTTGGGAACCACTGTTCTAGACGCAGGACGAGCCAACAGGTTTGTGTCTGAAGACTTGATGCTGCGCACAGCATGGACACAGAGTTGATCTGGAGCCATGACTAGCTTTAATCTTTATATACCAAGCCACAGCTGGAGTCCCGTACATCTGGTTTCTGTGCTGTAACTGTTCTGGAAACCTGACTGAAATTGTCCAAAAACATTATCTGAAGGGGCTTCCAGAAACTGTAATGAAAAGACTGGCAATATATGAAAGTCTTGAGTTAAACCACTGTAGGTCAGCAACATCTGGATTTACAGCTGCTGTTAAGTTGTAAAAAATTAAACAATTCACATCACAAACATACATCTAACAACAATATTTAAAATGCTACAATAACGTGTGCTAAATGCTACAAAAGGTCCAGACTGTACATCAGTGCAGTAAGTGGTTGAGCAGTCCAGGGATTTGCATTTGCATCTTCAAGGGACAGTATTTTCCTCCTACCTGTACAGCTATTAATCCATCTGTTGGTTTGGTGTAAGAGTTTTGGATATCAACCTTCTCTCAAATGCTCAAAGCTTAAAAATGCAACCTCAACAGCAATGTCTCTTTCCAGAAATCATGACCCAGTTACTCAAGATAATCCACAGACCTTGTTGTGAGCAGTTTCACGTAGGACTTATCTACTTTCTACCAAACAAGACTCACCAACTGCATCAATGCGCAGAAGGAAGCACATATTTGCGCTAGCTAACGTTACAGCTCAGCCTTCGGCACAGTGATATGAAGAAAGACAATAATTCCAACATGAAACTGCTAACAAGAAGCAGAGTGCCATCTGGTTCCATTATATTGGAGAGAAGGCAGACTTCCAAAACTCACACCAAAACAATCTAGATGGAGAAACAGCACTATAGGTACGAGTATTTTGGAGTAAATTGTCCGTTTAATGTAAAAAATTCTGTCACTCAGTGGCTTTGCGGGGCCAAAGTCTCTGATAACAAGTGGCTGTGGGTGGGTATCCTCTTTCTCTGGTGTCAGATGTGAATGTACTCATTTATCTTTCCCTGGGCGCCTACTAACTCAGCATGTAGCCAATGACCTTCAGATAGTCTCAAGCTCACGATCATGCTTGCCACTGTGCTGGTACGTGTAAAAGTGAAGTCATCCATCTGCAAATCAGTGCTCAGGTAACAACATACAGTATCGTCCTTGTGGATCAGTGGGTTGAGTGTGATACCACCTTTCCAAAAAGGAAAAAAACATGTCTCCTCTGGCACTGTCTTCATACCACAGATAAAAACAAAATCATTCAGATCCTGCCATCACAGGAAAAAAAGGCTACTGAGGGTAACCTGCATACGTAGCTGCCTTTAAGCCTCAAAGCAGAGGTAGGAGAACAGGTAGGAGAACAGAGTGGAAACTAAACAACTCCCATCAGAGCAGGATTCCTACAGAATTCAACTCTGGGCTCTGTCGGGTTTCTGTGCAGTAGATGGGATATCAGGGCCCTTGTTGCTGCTGTGCTGCAGCCTGTCTTAGCAGAGCCTGGAAGTCAGGAGACAAGACCAGTTTGTGGTGGACGTTTCCCAACACCATCATGTCTCCAGTCCGACCGTCAGACAGATGCACAGACACCAGTTGCTGCAGAGGGAAGAAGGACAGATGGACTCAGTATTAATGGTGGCTTTGTTTTTCTCATTGCATATTGACCTAACAGTGGAGTTTTCAATAGTTAAGTGAAGCAGTTTCGAAGATGAATACAAAAAGTTTAGTAGATTACCATAGTTATACTTATTACCATAGGCAGCGCCAGGGAGGGGCTTGGGGGTGCTGTAACTACCTCTAGGATTACCACAGCACCCCGTGAGAAAGAAATATCTGTGGCTTATTTATATTGTTTAATTTGTAAAGATCTTTATCTTTATTTTTAGATTTAAAAACATATAATTATCTGTTTTGATTGATTGGTCAGTGGGTGCAGCATGCACTCAACTTTTGACCTTACGTCCACTTCCTGTTACCCAGAGTGCATTTGGTGGTTGAGGCACAAAATCGGACTCCTTATAGTTAACACCTCTGCAATGCTTATTCATATTATTTACATATTTAATAAATAAGCATATAGTGATCCACTCTTCTGTAAGGACTGTAAGGAAGGAGGACAAAAATGATAGAATAGTTTAAGTATAAGTATTTGCATTATTGTTTAGCTGTGTTTTGGGGTCTATTATATATTCTGTGTAATTTCCTATCTAATTTGGGGTAATTAATTTTGCATTATCCCCCACATACTCTGTATGTTAGCACCTGAACTGAACACAAGTGACCTGTTTGAGTTAAAATGGTAAGAGAAACTCGAGTGTGCTGTGATTTACACATCTGCTCATAGTAAGTTACAGCTTA